ATACAACCAAATATCTTTTTACTTTTATTTGCCATTGCCTCGGGAGTACCCTCGCTTTGAATTCAATTTTTTTTTCTAAATCTACCAAACTTATTAATATCTATCTGTGGCCTAAGGCAACTTGTTTCTTTGTGTGAGGGATACGCCAAATCACACGGTTTGGTGTACAACTGTAAAAAGTCGGAGATCATGGTCTTTGAGACCAGGGGTGGGACGCATGATAAAATACCTCCCGTAGTACTCAACGGAACGCCATTGACAAGAGTTTATAAATTTAAATATCTCGGCCATGTGTTGACCCCTGATCTCAAAGATGATGAAGATATTGAACGAGAGCGGAGAGCGTTGTCGGTTAGAGCAAACATGATAGCTCGCAGGTTTGCACGGTGTTCACTTAAAGTCAAGGTCACCCTCTTTAGGGCCTACTGTACTAACTTTTACACGTGCAGCTTGTGGGCTGGATATACTCAAAGATCGTACAATGCTCTCCGTGTTCAATACAATAACGCGTTTAGGGTGCTGGTGGTGCTGCCCCGCTTTTGTAGCGCATCAGGGATGTTTGCAGACGCGCACATAGATTGTTTTTACGCTACCATGCGTAAGAGGTGTGCATCTCTGGTAAACAGAGTGAGGGCCAGCTCCAACAGTATCCTGAGCATGATCGCAAGCAGGCTGGACTGTATATACATGGGTCGCTGTGGTGCCATCTCCCATGGGATGTTACCACAGTAATTCATTGTGATTAACAATTTATATGAGTCATGGATACTTGAAATAAAAACATTATTATTATTATTATTATTATTATTATTATTATTATTATAACTAGCGACCCGCCCTCGCTTCGCTTCGGAAACCGTAATTTATTATTGATTTCTCCACTATTTAATGGATGTTATTATACATAGAAACCTTCCTTTTCAATCACTTTATCTATTAAAAAAAACCGCATCAAAATCCGTTGCGTGGTTTTAAAGATTTAAGCATACATACGGATATAGGGACAGAGAAAGCGACTTTGTTTTATACTATGTAGTGATAAAGACCAGTCTTTCAGAGCGATTGCGCAACGTCTCATTGTTAGCGCATCGAAAACAAACTTGAAGTTATTCGAAATATAAATAAACAAATTTAAAGGGCAAACGGTACGAAGCGAAACACATTTGTTAGCGGTTGAAGGTTGTAAGTAATACACACATTCAATATTTGTTCTCAATGTTTATTATTATTATTTTTAAACCAAAAATAGCTCAGTAGCGATACGCGCGAAGCGTTCGTAAAAAAAATGTCGTGATTGTGTAACCCTGTTTCAACCAAAAAAAAACTGTGTCTGAACGTGCGATTATGTATAACTGGCTTTTTTGATGCACGTGTAATCGAGCTGATAAAGTAAAAGAAACAAGAGAAGAAGAAACAGTAAAAGTCTTCCCCTATGACACGTTGCAATTTTATTATAATAATATGATTTCGTACACTTTTTTTTTAATATAGGTTAATAGCATTGAGAGGCTATTTCAGCTTCTCCTTGACGTGTAGGTGAGCTCACGTGGCTCAAACCGGGAGTGTTGCTAACACTGGCCCTAGCTAGAGCAGTGCTTCGCAGAATCTACCGCTGTTTTTTTTTTATTGCTTAGGTAGGTGGATGAGCTCACAGCCCACCTGGTGTTAAGTGGTTACTGGAGCCCATAGACATCCACGACGTAAATGCGCCACCCACCTTGAGATATAAGTTCTAAGGTCTCAAATATAGTTACAACGGCTGCCCCACCCTTCAAACCGAAACGCATTACTGCTTCACGGCAGAAATAGGCATAGTGGTGGTACCTACCCGCGCGGACTCACAAGAGGTCCTACCACCAGTAATTACGCAAATTATAATTTTGCGGGTTTTATTTTTATTACACGATGTTATTCCTTCACCGTGGAAGTCAATCGTGAACATTTGTTGAGTACGTAATACATTAGAAAAATTGGTATGCGCCTGGGATTCGAACACCGGTGCATCGCTCAACACGAATGCACCGGACGTCTTATCCCTTAGGCCACGACGACTTCAAAGCTACGCTACCCATGCGGGATCACAAAATGCCCTACCACCACTACTATCCTTTGGTTTGTAGAGAGCTTCGTAGAGAGCTTCGTAGACTGGCATTTCTACCCGCCAAGTCACTTGGTCAGACCACTACTCTGGACTTCCCTCTCTACGCCCTTTGCCTTATGCTTTAGTAGTGGGGATGAGCCTTTCTAACCAGGATTTCTGCGGGCTGTATGACCGAACTATTGCAGAGCTCCCTGAAGACATACAATTGAGAGCCACCATTATAATTGGTACCAATTCACGCATTTCTTCGGAACGCGCGTTTTCATAATCCATCGATATTTAACTTTCGTTAATGAGCTTCCACTGACTTATTCACAGCCTTCAGCTAAAATACTGTATAAGCTAAATTCAGAGACAGCCAGATCCTGAGATGTAATTGTGACATGATAGATAAAACAATTAAATTGTAGGTATTTGTTTTCATAGAAATATTAACGAGGATATCATTTCGATGACATTCAAAACTTTTACCCGCGAATTATAGGTACTCTGTGAAAATCATTTACGGCCACAGATTAACAATTTTTTTTTTTATGAAACTTGTCAGAAAAGAAATTGAGAGACAAACACAGAGAGATAGAGAGAAAGAGAGAGAGAGAGACAAAAATAAAATTTTAGTTTTTCATAAATATTGATCGTGTTCAATGGATGTATCAATTATGCATAAAATTATGCACTTTTTGTAATACCTCACGGCACCTGTGTAAATGTCAGATGATGTCAACCGGCGTAATGCTCTGTGAGCAAACACAATGGAATAGAAAACGTTCAATGCGAAGGGTTGATCTTATAAATTTGCATTTTCGTTCGTAAAATAAAATCGTTTCGCTCAAGATCTGTTTCGAGAACTTTGTTGCTCAATATTATCGGGGCTCAGAGAATCGAGCATCTAGTCCAGCCTTTCTCAAAGTGGGCGATAACGCCCCCTTGTGGACGCTGTAGGCCTAAAGGGGGACGGTAAGAGACCCAGAAAAAAATGGGGGCGTTGTGTAGAGGCTTGGGAGGCGATTTGTAATTTCATTTAGGAAGACTCTTAGACACCGATTGTGCTTTCGCTATAGTGGTTTTCAGGTACCTAGGTGAAAAAATGGGGGCGTTAAAAAATAATTTACTCATTAAGTAGGCAATAGACAAAAATAAACAATGAACTAGTTTTTTTTTTTAATTAATTTCTAAGATTTCGAATAGTGAATAATCTTTGTGTCTAGAACGTCAAAGCTGAGAAACTAAGGCATGTTAGGTTGACGCCTCAAAATTGTTTGATTGAATAGATTAAAAACAACGTGTGCTTGTGAAAACGCATCAAGGCATATCCTTACATTCCTTAAGGAAATAAAACGTCAACTTAACGTATAAAACATATAAAATTTAATTATGTACAATATAATAACGAAGAAAAAAGAAATACATTGCATTTTAAATATAATTTAATTCATCGAATGAATAACCCAACAAAATTTCAAATAAAAGTTGATTACATTAAATATTTGGCACAGAACACCGAAATTCACAGTCAACTGTGTTGTTATGTCCTAATTCGATTCGATAATATGTCAATTAAATTATTGAAATATCATTATTATTTAATTTAGAAATACGTTTTTAAAATGCAAGTCCTACCGTGCTGTGTGTGTTACAAGTTCTTCCGATGCTACCGGCCTATCGGGAATAATTGGAGGTGACTACTTATAAATGCTTTTAGAAAACTTTTTCTCAAAACAACGGCAAAAGGATCATAGTGTAAATGTACTGTTTGACTCGAGATATATTTTTTTAATTTATTTACATAAATTGGCAAACGAATTCACAGCTGACCTGCTGGTTTAGTGGTTTCATAAAAGCCGCAGTATGGACCCCACCAGCTTGGGATGAGAAGCTGAAACATCAATCGTATTGAAATGCCGCTTATTTTAACTTTCAAACCACAATGAATCATTTAGGCCTTGTTTCTTTCTCAAATTAAGCATACATTCCAATCTTAAAGATTGAACATTACTCGATTGTACCTAACTGCATAATGATCTTAAAGTGTGTGAGACGCCGGTAACATCAATTAAATTTCTTCGAGTACCACTTAAGGTCGAGAAGCACAAAAGCATGCCCAATAAAATTTTACACTGTTTTAAAAAATACATCTATATAGTTAATAATTCAAGGGCATAGTCTCGCACCTTGTGTGTGACCGATGGGTAGCAGCCATTTTTGTGTCGGCCATTTTGTTATTTATTTCAGGCCGTGTTGCCTAGCAACCGAATATTTGGTGTATTTCAATTGCAAAGAATGATAATACACAGTATTTTGTTCGGGCTATAGTTTATTCTTCAGTTTTTACGTGTCGGACACATAATTAAAACCTATTTTTACAACATAAAGATTCGTTCTGTGTGAAATGAAGAACGTAGAATCTTAAAGAAAATTAGCACTATATTCAAACGTCGAAAAATAACACCTATGTCGTCCGTGACAAAGAAAATTGTAAAGTATTCCAAGCATCGGATATAATATTTAATATAAAAATATCGTTTCAATGTTAATCAATTCAATTCAAATTGAAAATAAAAAAAGTATTTTTTGTCGCTCAGCCACGAAAATTTGTAGAACAATGAAATTGCGACTTATATTATCACTTAACATCAGGTGAACCGTGAACTCATTCAAATACGTATCATTAAACGACATGTGCAATATCGCAGCAGGCGATAAATAAAAGAAGCCTTCAGACAATTTTTTTATTGCTTAGATGGGTGGATGAGCTCACAGCCCACCTGGTGTTAAGTGGTTACTGGAGCTACTAGACATCTATAACGTAAATGCGCCACCCACCTTGAGATATAAGTTCTAAGGTCTCAAGTAGGTATAGTTAAATCAACAATAGCATAACATCAATCTTTGTGCCCAGGTTGTCTGAAAGCGATAAAGCGGCGGCCCCTTCGTCTCCAAGTCCTGTAGAACAGCCGCTGGACCTGAGCGCCAAGTCTACGTCCAGCACCAGCGGTACGCCTCCGCCTGACCCCAAATTCTTGGATAGCAGGTGAGAAAAACTTTGAAAACATTATCTTCGTTAATTAACATAATTTTCAGGGTCTAATCAACTGCTTTTAATCGATGACCGGTTTTACTGGTGGCAGGACCTCTTGCGAGTCCGCACGTCCGTACCACCACCCGTTATTTCGCCCCATTTCTCTCGGCACAAATCATCCACCAATTGTTTTTTTTTATTGCTTAGGCTTAGGGTGATGTTGATTGTTTGACAAAATTGGATGTTTTGATTGATTAATTTGGCTTAAAATAAAAGAATCAAGGCCGTTAAATAAGTTTAAAAAAAAATTGTGAATCATAGATTAGGTACAGAGTGACCTGACATTTGCTAGGTCGTACCTTTTTTATAAATAAACAAAGACAAAAAAAATTACATATCTTTAGTGTTTTTCATTAATTGTATTTTTGTGTGTAACTATTATAGATAAATGATATGAATAAATAATTATTGAAGTTGATTATGGCAAAACTTCGATTATTCTGAAACACTATGTATTTTAGTTCTAAAATGGGATCTAATATTTCAATTTAATCCACAACACTGACCATGGGGTCGTTTCGTGCATTCGTAACGGACGCGTTCACATAATAATACCACTTCCTACAGCCATCTCGGATTACACAAACAATAATGTGAACGCACCCATAAAACTATGAAAACTAAACCGAACGCGTCTTAAAGTTCGATGAACTATTGACAGCTAACGATAACGGTGGCCATTTTGAATTATTATTGCTTCATAAAAACTAATTTGTATTTTGATACAGTTAAATTAATATTGATTACGCTTTTGTTTTCTATTGTGACCCGAAGCTTAATGTCCTCTTTTAATAATTAAACTCATATTTTTATTTATATAGCTTCGTTGAGGTCGATAACAGCCATTTTAAATTACTTTTTCACGCAATAAAATATTTAGTATGTTTGTCAGTTTTCCCGCGTCATAGACATAACTAAAACTATTATTTTAATAACAGGTTTACTGGTGGTAGGACCTCTTGTGAGACCGCATGGGTAGGTACCACCACCACGCCTATTTCTGCCGTGAAGCAGTAATACGTTTCGTTTTGAAGGGTGGGGCAGCAGTTGTAACTATACTGAGATCTTAGAACTCATATCTCAAGGTGGGTGGCGCATTTACGTTGTAGATGTCCATGGGCTCCAGTAAGCACTTAACACCAGATTAGGTACAGAGTGACCTGATATTTGCATTAAGGATCTTAGGCTACGCGTAGGGACGCGTAATCACAAACGTTCCAGTAATCTGTAGACGTCAGATCAGTATAGCCTATTTGCTAGGTCGAACCTTTTTTTTAAATAAGCAAAGACAAAAAAAAAAAACACGAATTGTTAATTGAGTGTAACTATTATAAATGATATGAATAAATAGAGAATGCCTTAGGCATTAAGTCCGCCAATGTAAATTTTACATGAAGTGTAATAAATAAAGTCTCTTAAGCAACAAAACGGGATTTGATTGTATCATCAGATGTTTGACTTCGTAACATTGCATAGTATCAAATGGCTTGATGTCGGTTTCAAGCGTAACAATAAACAAGCTTGAGCGTTTCTCTGAAAGAAATTAATTGCAATTCCCTTCGTAGAAGTTCAGGGACCCCTTATCGAGCGCATAGCCGAAGAAACGGGCTTATCACGATGCATGTGTAAATAAATCATTGCGAAATTAAATGCACTTTGGATTATTATTTTTTTATCATAAAAACGCAAGTACTCGACGGTCCAACGCACTTACTACTTTTATTATTTTTAACGTGACTAATGTTCTTGTAACGTGTGTCACTTTAATTGTTTATTGCAGTGATTCTCAACCTTTTTTTTGTTGCGGCACACATTTAACGATTTCAAAATTTGGCGGCACACAAAAAAAAAAAGATAAAAATTATTTACTTACTACAACACACTGCATAAATAGTTTAACAAAAAATTTTAATATACGAAATAAACTAAATTAAACTATACATTTTTTTTTGTGGATTTAAATATATATTCATGTTTAAAATATTTTTCTTTTAAAATGATATAATTTAATAATATTAACATTATTATATATTCGCAAAATTTGGCGGCACACTTTTGAAATTTGGCGGCACACAAAAGTGCCGCGGAACAGTGGTTGAGAATCACTGGTTTATTGATAGGACCCTCAGTGAGTAATCGCAGTAGGGGACCTACTGAATTATCAACGAAAACATTCCAAACAAATGCCACGTTTGAAATATTTTGGATGTATTGGCGGGAACGCGACGAGGGAAGTCGTGTGAACTATTTCATTATGTTGTAAAGTTTCTTCAGGTTTAAACGTGGCTTATTAACCGTTTTGCATTGATAGAAGTACGCAAGTGTGGTATAATGAAAGAAAACCGCTCAGTAGAACCTCTCGGGTTATTCCAAAAAGCCCTCTGAAGTCACTGTAAATTCGTAATATTTCACTGGAATGTTATGAATAGTATAAATGAATCAACTACGTCAACATTCGGCTACATTTTTGCATAACATAAAATGTATTTGTGTAATATTTATATTTTTTAAGTCGACAGTGACAACCCTAATATCCCAATAAAAGCTCATACTACAAAGGAGAAAAAAAACCACACTAAATAAAGTTAAATGACGACGACAATTTTTTTTAGGGAAGTTCATTTTCTAAATACATGTCTACTTTGTGATAGTCCAGTAACTGGCTACTGCTTATCAACGCACCAATGTAAAGCAAAAATACATTTGGGAAAAAGGCTTTTTATTTATTCCTTAGGTGGGTGATTGAACTCTGCGTCCCACCTGGTATTATGTGGTTATTGGACAAAGTTAGTAGACAAAAACCCGATAAGTCTATCGTAAGCATATTTTTTTATATAAATATTTTAAACAGCTAAATAAATTTTAAAACTAAGCCACAGCGCATGATGTCATGTGTGGTTAATTGGTAAGTATGAGGGTGAGATGTAAGTGATTTAAATTTGGCCACAAATGACGTCACACTCAATACAATTGCGTTCAGCCGTGTCTTGTAAGGTCTGCGTGGTCGTCCTTAAAGAAAATGAATAAGAAAGAAGAAAATTAGGATGTTAATCTAAACTTGAACAACTAATTTTAGACTATGTAATATCGATCCCACTGAGTTTCTCGCCGGATCTTCTCAGTGGGTCGCGATTCCGATCCGGTGGTAGATTCTGCGAAGCATTGCTCTTGCTAGGGCCAGTGCTATCAACACTCCCGGTTTGAACCCCGTGAGCTCATCTACACGTCAAGGAGAAGCTGAAATAGCCTCTCAAGGCTATCAGCATAGGTAGGAAGGAAAACAAATCGGTCAAATCTTCAGTAAAGTGAAACGCATCTCACAAAACACAATAGCCAATCGATAACTGAATATAGTTCGCTAACGAAGGATGTGGGTCGACTCGCAAAACAAAAACCAGTCTGACGGTGCATTGACCTTGCAGCAAACGAACGCACTCCGAAACAAAAACGACTTTAACATCTGAGCAATACGACATAAGCTCGTGTAAAGCAATTGTTCAGAAAAATAAAGTACTTTAAATTTTAAGATGAAATTGAAGACGCGAAACGCTTGCAGTGAAGAATGAACTTTATCTCGAATGTCGTGAGGTCAATTTCAGAGTGTGAAGCGATAAATGACTGTTTGTAACAGGGCTGCTGTAGTCCTTTGAAAATCATATTGAAAATTGTTTAATATTATTTATTTCTTATAGGTTATCTATATATTAATACGTGAAGCAAAAACTTTGTATCCCTTTTTACAAAAATTGCGCGGACGGAGGAGTATGAAATTTTCCACTTATAGAGAATATAGAGACGAAGTGCACAATGCTAATATTTTTTTTAAATAATGCATAAAAGATACATTAAATCAATAAAGAAAACATTACACACACGACATACCATGTATTTGACGCACACACGCATGCATACCATTTATTGTCAAACTTTTGTTCTTGACGTCTGTTGTCAAATTGAGAATAGATTAAATATTGTTTGTCTTTGTTAATATTTTTTATAGTGTAGTCTTGACGAAATTTGTGATTATAGAAGTATAAAATACAATCATAATAGTGTACAAACTTACAATTCCAGTTAATTATAGTCGAATTTCGACTACTGCGGGACCACTAGTTGTAACTAAATGGAGATGTCTGAAAATTATTTTCAATAGAAACACACTTTGTCATTTCTTATGTGTATAATTAAATGAAATAGATATACGTTTGTGTCCCTAACGCGAAAAGGATTTATTGCGACAATAATTATGCTTAATTGAGGTTAGGTGACTTATAAATGAACTTCCAAATAATACTTAGAATAGGTACTTTTGCTTAGTTACTCGATCGCGGGCACGGCAAGTATCCTGAATTAGAGTGTGACAGCCCTGCCGCTTTATCGGTCCAGTACGCAAATATTTCGCATTTCACCTTATCTAGGATTAAATGGCGTTTTGAAATATTTGAATTTAGCTCTAACGATAGCCGGCTGTTGACCATGTCGACGAACTAATGAATCAGTCGCTTGTTTGTACGCTAAAAGAAAAATTGTGACACACGTCAATGATAACGTGGATATGTCTTTACTAACAATTTTATTATTACAATATTATTTAATTGCAACGCACAACGTACCCTTAATTACAACGATAAATGTCGCGTATTAAGCGATACGTCGCTTAAAGTTTTTCACACCTCGATTTAAAAAGATATGTAAAGAAAAACCTTTATTATGTAAAACCTTTAAAACTCTTTAGTTTAAAAAAAAAAGGTTTTTCTTAGACAGATTCACTGATTTGTCTCTTATTGAGAAAAAAAGAGGAGTTCAGTTTTACATAATTCAATAATAATAATTGAAAAAGGAGATTAAAGGCTTTAAATGTTGTTTTCTTAATATTTCACAGAAAACGCAATTAAGTCTTTTATTGCTGTTCAATCATTTTAAAATCATTAAATATATACCTATATAATTAATTATTTTTTAAATAAGCTTTATGTTAGCTATATATTCGATTATTGTTCCAGATTAAGACGAACAGCTTTAGATGGAGCATCGAATAGCACGGGGCGGCGCACTTATACGGAAGACGAGCTGCAGTCAGCCCTGCGCGACATCCAGTCGGGGCGGCTCGGCACGCGACGGGCTGCCGTGCTTTACGGCATCCCGCGCTCCACCCTACGGAACAAGGTCAACAAGTTCGGCCTCGTCGCGGATAACCACGACTCCGACCCCGACAGCGACCAGGACCGCGCCGAGTCTCCGTCTTCTGTCATACTCAAGATACCGACCTTCCCTCCCCCCGATGACAAGAGCCCGTCACCAGCGACGCCAGTCACTACGCCGATCACCCCCCTCACGCCGCTCATCTCCCAGCCGCCGCCGTCTCTGAACCCGCCTTCGAATCTCCTCTTGTCACCGTCCGTGTTCGCCGACCCGCCAGCTGGATCCCAACACATTTTTACGTCGTTGAATGACGTTATAGCGAAAAGCATAAGTCAGAAATTCCAGCAGCCGCTCGACAGGACACACCAAGCGGACCTTTCCTTCATGAGAGCGCCGGACGCTCGACACGTGTCGGTCATCAAGAGCCAATCTGACAACCAAAGGAACTACGCGATGCCGAGCAATTCCAAGGTGCCTACGAACAATAACGGCCAAGCGGCCGCTGGAGGCAAAGGCACTAGACCCAAGAGAGGTAAATATAGGAACTACGATCGAGACAGCCTCGTTGAGGCGGTGAAAGCAGTCCAGCGAGGAGAGATGTCCGTGCACCGCGCCGGCTCTTATTACGGTGTCCCACACTCAACGCTCGAATACAAAGTCAAGGAAAGACATTTAATGCGGCCTAGGAAGCGCGAACCAAAACCTCCTCCGCAAGATACGAAGCCGCAGCCTCCTAAGCCGCTCCCACCGAAGCCACCGGGCAAGCCATTCTCAAACGGACTCAACGGGCCTGAGACTCCAACGTACCCGGCGGGCTACCCGTTCTGGGCTAGTCCCGGCTTCGCTCCTCCACCGACGCCAGATCTGTACGCGTCGCACATGATGCGGCGGTTGCGTGAGGAAGCACCTCCGCCAGCAAACGGATCGTTCCTGGAGGGGATCATCCGGTCAAGCCTGGAGCGGCCCGGAGCGGCGCTGATGCAGCGGCTGGCGAGCGAGTCCCCGAGCCTGGTGCGGCGGCTCGCGGCCGACGTGGAGGAGCCGACGGCGCGACGGCCGCGGCTCGACAGCTCGGACCACCAGCTCGCGGCTGAGATGCGCGAGGCGGTGCAGCGGCTGCGCGCCGACAAGCTCCGTCCGCGGAACGGCACCCCCGCGCCCAGCCCGCCCCCCGCGCCGCCTGACCGCGCCTAGTGCCCTCACACACACTACATTCCGCTCTCGGCCCCCGCCGATTCCTTTACTGCCTTTCGTGATCACTTCCCGCTTCCGTGCCGACCCGGTCTCTCGTAGACGATTCTGTATCCCCGTATTACCAAATATCACAATAGTTACCTTAAGTTCTGACCGGTTCGATAAATCACAGCTTTACCGATGCGATATCACAATAGTATTTAGTGTGCCGTGGTCGTCCCGTGCGTCGCGACCTGCCGCCCCCCCCGGGACGGTCCGGTGGCAACATGGAGGACGATGTGGACGGACAGGAGGGAGTGGCTACAATCGGACCCAACTTTACAATTACAATAATAAAACTAAAATAGTACAATTTAAAAGAATAAGACAAACATATTTCAAATTATTGAAGGGTACTCGTACGAGATTCGAAACGAGCACTAGTATACGTCACGTCCGGCGCTAGGGTTGACAGAGCCCAAACGAAACCGGAATCTCACGATTTTCGACATTGTTTTAAATGAAAAGACAACCAAAAGTTAACGTTATGAAAATTTAAAACTATTTAAATATTGTGTAAGTTAAAGAAAAGTAAGAAAAAAAAACATTGTAACAAATTTAATTAATTATAAAGCTAGCTATGAATGTAAATGTTATCGATTTTTAAGTGAACTATTGCAGATTTTTGTGCGGTGTTTTTTATAATTAGATAGGTAATCTATTGAATGGAATGATTGGCGCTGATGGCGGGCGGAGCGGGCGCGGGGGGCGCCGCCCTCGTGCTGGGACGCGCGAGGACTTATGTGCAATTATTATTTTGTATAAAAATAATAGTAATTTTTAAACTGTGTCTAAGCTAACACGTGGATTTCCATTATACTGAATGTGATATTTAGGTATTACGAGTGCGGCTTGTTCGAGCGACCAGACGCGGGGAGCCCGGCCCGCGCTTTATACACGGACGTACATTAGATACATCTAGTGAACATACACATATATATATATTTTATGTAACATTATTGTATCTTAAGATATAAAGAATATATTCTTATTTTTCATGGTCCAAGTTTTAAAATGTTTTATCGACTATACAATAAATTAAAAAGAAGAAAAAAAAATCAAGAAAAATATGTGAATAACCATTATTATATTCTCGTCGACTTTAAAATATACATATGTCGTGTTAAAGAACTACCCTCAGGAGATTTTCAAATTTAGCGAAATAAAAATTCTCGGTGTTCAAAAACTATATATTTATTATTATTAAAATTAAAATTAAACTTACGATATGAAAATAAATGTATACGCTCGCCCAAATTAAATTTAGGTAAATATTCAAAATTAATCTAATACGATTTGTATTGTGTAAGTTAATGTGTACGTGTGCGCCTCATGGAAATTAAGATGTCTTTGTATTATCTAAACCATATACATAATTATATTATATGTATACAAAATGTTTTATGTAATGAAAATTCGTACGTTTTTCCTCCACGCGAGCTGTATTTAAAAAAAGAAAGTTTGGACTCGACACTTCGACATAACAATAATAAAAAAAACGGGAAACAGTTTAGAGGAATATCCACGCTAATACATACATATCGATTGTGCCGAGATGTCGAATGCAATCTCAAATTTGACAAAAACAAAAAAATATATAGAAATTTTTATATTCAAAATTTTAAACTAGTCGATAGAATACTTTTTTCACTTTATGATTTCTTACTTCGTATAATTTTTCGATGTATTTTTAGGCGTATTTTTTAATCTATCTAAAATGTTAAAATCATGCATTTATCTTCGAGGAAATCTAAAGTTTTATACGCGGCAACACCGCACGTTCGTATCGTTTAAATATCAAATCGAACATTTTACTTTTTTTCTTTGTTTATTTGTAAACTGGATTCTATGTGTTACGCCTGACATTGTTGCTAGCTTAAATAAATAAATAAAAAAGGTTATTTTATGTAAGTTTGTACAGAATTAATAGGATGGGACAATTTGCAAAGAGTATTTAGATAATAACAAACATTCCGATTAGAATGTTATTAGAATTTTTTTATTATTATATTATTATTATTATATTATAAATAATATACATTATTTTTACATCGGGAACAAATCATTACGTTGTTTAATCTTATTTTTAACGTTAGTTATTTTGTAAGGCGCTTTATTTTTAACCCTTTAATAATTTAATTATGTAGTTAAAAGCGAAAGATGAAATGTTATGGCAGTGATTGTTTTCGAAGCGTCCCGGGCTCCGAGATCCCGGGGCTGAATAGATTCGCGACTGATATTTGTATTAGAGGAACAAACCGTTATAGTGGCAACACTCTCACGGTCTGTACAAATTGTATACGCCGGTCGACACCGCGAGAGACAAAGATGTTATTAACGGCGATTTGTTTTCTTTTTTTTTTTTGTTATTACAGATTAAGTTTTCGAAATACGCAAATTATCAAACCTTCCTGCTCGAATACCTCATTTCGATTAGTAGCATATGTTTTTTTTTTTTTACAATCGGTGTTTAAATTGGCTGTCTGTGCGTATTTCGGGAGCCCTTAATCTGTCCTCTCAAAACTGTCGCTGTGTAGTGAATCATTTTACTGTACATTGTTCGATAAGTTCTTTTTTCAACATAGTTTAGGTATTTTTAATTAAAAAAAAAATACATACAGTATGTAGTGTAATTTTTCAATTAATTAGGTAGTCGGTAGTGATTCTTTAATATTTTGTTAATTTTTTTTTTCCGTACACGTATTTCTTCTTAAGGTTTTAGTATTTAGTCTTGAACGGTCCTCGACTGATCCAGGAACAAAAGACAGTGAAAGGAAGTTGCATTTTACAATCAAGTGAAAAAAAACAAAATAAAAAGTTTTCGTGTAACGAAACGCAAACGCTAGAAAAGGGTTTAAGCCTATTTAATCAACAAAACGCGTGACTTCTCTTTTTAAAAATAAAAAAAAAATACCGAGAGAAAAGAAAATGAAAAATTCAAATTCGAACCGCTCGAATTCGAACATTTCATAAATGGAACACAGCCAAACGAAAGAAACGAGGATTTCGCGCCGAAACTCGTAAAAGACATTGCCAGATATTAATTATAAGCTTCTTTTTTTTTTAAACGAATGTCGTTCGATGCTTGCACGTTCCCGTGTAGCCGTTTTCGGACTAAAAGACGAGCGGCAGCGCCGTGTGCGTGTATTCGCGGGATTTATATTCCAGTTTTAGTATTCCATGGATGCGTCGTGACCGCCCGTGTCCAAGTTCGACTGACGGTAGACGCAATGTATAACTAAGAATCACGTCTTTTTAGCTATCATTAATTACTTTCCTTTGTTCCCTTTTCTTATGTAGAAGTTTTTTTTTTTTTAAATTTATCGATAAAGCAAACGAAGTTTTGCTCTGCGCTTGTCCGTTCCGTGTTTTAAAAGGCGCAGCGGCCCGGAAGTTTAAGGGGAGCCGATTCGTAAAATGTATGTACAACTGGAAGCATTTAATTTTTAGGAAATATTGAAAGTGAAATTTGTTATTTTTATCGATGTTGTAAATTCGTCTAAAAACGTCGTATATTTATTTACAAGCTGACGCTTTTAAGGAAGTTAACATCACATTGCTGGGGGACGTTTCCGTTAAGAGATATTGTCTATGATAATCGATAATTTTTTCTTAATTCAGGGAGAGGACCAATGTATATTCATAGAGACGTTATCGTATGCTCACATTTTATTATTATTATTATTATTTGAATAATATATAAACAGCAGAATAGTTGAGATCAAACTATAAATATTGTTATTTAATTATTGAGTACAAGTTTTTTTGAATGATTTTTTTTTAATATTCTTCCCTCTACTCGCCTGATATCTTTTGTTATTTTGTTCCTTTAGTTTTATATCTTTATTGTTTAAATGTCATTAAGCCCAATAATGGCTAGTTAATGATTTATTACAAATTTATATAGGTAATATTATGATAATGTAAATCTACTATTCCCGCAATCTAAGCGTTTATATTCACGCTGAGACCGTGAAATGCGATTGGCAAATACAATTGGCACAACTTTATTGTATTCAATATCTAGTCAAAATATTAGAATTGAAAAAAAATTAATCTAAAAAGTTACAATTCGACTGAATTTTTTGATAGCAAAAACAAAACTAAAAACTTAAAAAAATGACGTCCAAAAATGCGAAGTCGCCTGGCGACATAAGTTGGTGATGATTAAATGAAAAAAAAAAACGATTTGAATTTGGAATTGTAGACTATACCTGTTTGTAATGTATACTCTGTGGACTCGGATGCGGCAAAGGGATGCCGGAACATGTTTCTCTTCAATCGTACTGTGTCCTCTATGTATAGGTGTTTATATCTTACGTTATATGGCAGGTGTGTGAGAATGCGACTATTAAAAAAAACCTGTATACAATAAATTTCTTTCATTTGTTGAATCCAAAATTGTTTTATTCATAGATCCTTTTTAATTCCTAATTTTATTTAATTACACATAATGGACTTTTATATTATAATTTTGAGCTAAATGCTTACTTTCCCTACCTATTAGCTGCTAGCGTAAGAGGCTATTCCAGTTGCACTTTGACGAATAGATGAGCTCACGGGCTCAACCTAAGAGAATATGCTAACACTAGCCCTAGCAAGAGCAGTGCTTTGCAGAATCTACCACCGGATCGGAAACGCGACCCACTGAGAAGATCCAGCGAGAAACTCAGTGGGCTGTGTCTGAGGGTTAATTTAGTCGCCGAGCCCTTCGTCGCAAGCGACAGGATGACGTATCGTGCCGCTTTATCGAAGTGGCGCACTGAAGCCGACTGTAGGTACTTACGGACTCTAGGTCCAGGCCGTCGTGCCGGTCGATGTTCCTGACAAACCACGGGGTTCCGACGGCTATTCTGCAAAAGCGGGATATAGTTTGAAGGGGTGTCAAGTTAGTGCGGGCCGCGTGAGCAAACACCACACTTGCATAGGTCATGACGAGGCGTATGCAAGTTTTGTAGAGAGTCACCTTATTTCTAAGGTTGTTGTTCAGACTTGTAAGAGTTTATATGCGAGCTTATCTTGTAAATGTAAGCGAGATTTAGGCATCTGTCAAATATCTTATGTTCTGTGATGTAACCTCGAAAATTTCGATTAATTAATTTAAGTTAAGAAAATATGGACTGTAATATCTAAAACTGGTTCTAAATCTGGGCCAAAGTGCTTAGTCGAATTTCGATTACCGGGCGAACACTAATACATAATAATGCTAATTGCTAAAATACACAGCGGTTTGTCTTCCCAATTTGATAGTTCAACGTCCAAATGCCAATTTAATTTTTTTAAAAAGCCACAAAACTCCAAAACGCACACGTACCTAATTGTGTAGTTTTAAACCACAAATAGCGTATTTCTTTTAGTTAAAAAGAGTTGTATTATGTTCGTCGCCTGAAGGCGGACCATTCGGTCGCAAGGTCGGAATTCGAATTGAGCATTGAATACGACATCTGCTGTTTAAAATATTGATAGTATTCCCTAATAATGTCCCAGTATGGGTAGATTTATCGGGATTTTGTATATTACCTAAAACTTATTGGTTATTGCGTTTGATATCACTTGTAGTTAGCCTTTAACTCGGTATGTGAGGCTCAACGATCTGCAGGTGTTGAGGGCAGACCGCGGGCCCAAGGATTTTAGGGCCCACCCACTAAACAACTCCTCTGCACTCTTACACCCGACGTCCGATCTCCGTCCGGGGTCAGAACCCGGTCAAAGTAGGGGGGTTCCCGCGGTACCAACGACGTCGGTCTCCGCGGTACGGCGGCCCTACCAGGCCGCCCGGGCGATGCCGCTAGTGTTCCGGGATACCCCGCTGGGCCAGAACGAGCCTGTCGGGTCAGAACGCGATACGCCGCCGACCGGGTTGCTTTTCCGCAGTATGTTCGGCGACGACCATCACCGGGAGGAGACTGCCTTCTCATAGGGGCCGGAGCTGGACAAACACCCTCCTCCGGCCCCCGGTAGCGTGAAAGCTAACTCAACTTTGTATGGAGTTGGAACCTTTGCCGCTAGGGGCGGTGTTCCAACTTTTTTTTTATTGCTTAGATGGGTGGACGAGCTCATAGCCCACCTGGTGTTAATTGGTTACTGGAGCCCAAAGACATCTATAACGTTACTGCGCCACCTACCTTGAGACATAAGTTCTAAGGTCTCAAGTATAGTTACAACGGCTGCCCCACCCTTCAAACCGAAACGCATTACTGCTTCACGGCAGAAATAGACAGAGCGGTGGTACCTTTTCGCGCGGACTCACAAGTGGTCCTACCACCAGTAATTACGCAAATTATAATTTTGCGGGTTTGATTTTTATTACACGATGTTATTCCTTCACCGTGGAAGTTTTTTTTTTATTTTTTTTTTTTATTGCCTTTGTAGGCATACGGGCATACGGCCCACCTGATGGTGAGTGGTTACCGTCGCCCATGGACTTCAGCAATGCCAGGGGCAGAGCCAAGCCGCTGCCTACCGCTTAATACTCTCCACAAGCCTCGTTTGAAGAAGGACATGTCATAGCGCTCGGGAAACACCGTGGAGGGGAGCTCATTCCATNGGATCAGCAGAGGAAAAGCAGAACCGCCCCCATGGGTAGGATGCGTAAAATTCACGCAATCCATCCCAATCTGCTGACATATACCGCCAAACTCTTCGATACCCGGTCGTCGTTCGACGATCAGGACGAGAGAGTGGAACGGCAGCACGAATAAGGCAGTGATCAGACGATCCAAGCGGAGCGTCGACCACCACACTGTATCCGGCCGAATCTGTGGTCAGCAGAAGGTCCAACAAAGAAGGCTCGTGCCCCTCGATATCTGGGACACGGGTGGGCTGTGTCACCAGCTGGGAGAAGCCGTAGGCCAAGGCGAAATCGTAGGCAGTCCGACCCGGGAGGTCAGTGGTTCTGGACCCCAACCACTCTTGGTGGTGAGCTTTAAAGTCTCCAAGAACCACCACCTCCGCAGATGGGTACTGCTCAAGCACGCGGTTAGTCCCCTCTTGCACATGCTCAAACAGAGCTGAACCTGCAAGAGTCGATCGTGAACATTTGTTGAGTACGTATTTCATTAGAAAAATTGGTACCCGCCTGCGGGATTTGAACACCGTTGCATCGCTTCAACACGAATGCACCGGACGTCTTATCCTTTAGGCCACGACGACTTCAAAAGTTTTTTAATTTCTTAACGATTTCGATAGCGTATAAGTTAACTCAACTTTCTATGGAGTTGGAAGTGTTGGAACGTTTGCCGACGTTTGCCGCTAGGGGCGTTTTTTCAACTGCTTACAAATTTTAGTTAACTTTTACGTTATCGAGAACGTTAAAAAACTCGCATTAAACACACAGGGTACATAGAATCACGAAACAGCGAACACTCTGTCGCGTTTAAGCTTTATAGCAGATCCCATCCGATCCGGCTTCGTGTACCATGATAGCTAACTTTGTGCCAAATTCAATCCAATGCCGGTCACAGTTCTTAATACGTAATCGAACAAAAACATCCAAGCATCTATAGATATAAATAAAATTGGAGTGTCTGTTTGTAATATTGAAATAACCGCTTTTTACTACACGCATATGAATATACCTATACTAGAGGTCCCGCAGTAGTCGAAATTCGACTATAATTAATTGGAATTGTAAGTTTGTACACTATTATGATTGTATTTTATACTTCTACTAGCGGCCCGATCCGGCTCCGCTCGGGTCTTTAATAAAAATTTCAACGACATTTGACGTTGTTTTATTATTTTTTAATTAAAATAACACTTATTGCGGCATAACTATAATAGTTAGATATATGCTGTCGCGACACTTTTAGTAAATAATAATGTGTTCTACAAAGTCGTAGTACATTATTTTATTCTATCATCAATAGTTTTCGGAGGGCACGCCATGTAAAGAATATTTTAGGTAATTTTTTTACACCTTGGGTTACATTATTGGAGTTTTAGTAAGGATCTCTAATTTTTTCAAAAAAGATTATAGCCTATGTCACTTGGGAATAGGGTAGCTTCCAAACAGTGAAATAATTTTTCAAATTTGGTTCAGTAGTTTCGGAGCCTATTCAATACAAACAAACAAACAAATCTTTCCTCTTTAAATATTAGTATAGATAATCACAAATTTCGCCTAGGCTACACTATAAAAAAATATGAATAAAGACAAACAATATTTAATATTCACAATTTAACCACAGACGTCTAGAACAAAAGTTTGACAATAAATAGTATGCATGCGTGTGTGCGTCAAATACATGGTATGTAGTGTGTGTAATGTTTTATTTATTGATTTAATGTATCTTTAAGGCATTATTTAAAAAAAATATTAGCATTGTGCACTTCTTCTCGATATTCTCTATAGGTGTGGAAAATTTCATAGGTACTCCTCCGTCCACGCAATTTTCGTAAAAAGGGATACAAAGTTTTTGCTTCACGTATTAATATATAGATACGGTACATAGGTAGTACACCAAAATAACATTTTTTTACAAATTTTTGTCTGTCTGTTTGTTCCGGCTAATCTCTGGAACGGCTGGACCGATTTTGACGGTACTTTCACTGATAGGTAGTTAATGATATAAGGAGTAACTTAGGCTACTTTTTTAAACTAGCTTCGCCCCGCGGCGTCACTCGCGGTACGAAAATAACCACGGATAACATCGCGGAACTCAGCTAGTTTACAATATAAGTTTAGTGCAGTAACGCGCTGTGATGATTTCATTCATTTCTTCGACATAAACACAGATAATATTAAAACAATATCTACCATTTTTAAGTAATGAAATCATCTACATATCGACGCTTGAAAGGCAAAAGTGACTAAGCGACAATAATTGCTTTATACATAAATGTTAGGCAATAACCATATTCGATGCGCAAAAAAAAATATTTCTAGGTCTATTAAAATCATTTCAATCCTACAGCTACTAGCTAGATTCTACTACAGCTGGATTCGTTAAAATAGAATTTTTTTCAGGTATTTCAACTTTAAATTAGTCTACCGTAAAGTTCACGCATTGTCGCTTAGTCACGTTTGCCTTTCAAGTGTCGATATGTTATCAAAACGAAAGAAGAATATTCCAGTTGCACCTAGTTCTTTCTATGTACAAATAAATAAAAAAGTTAATAGACATTTTATATAAAAGATTCTATATATTTTAGTTATCACGATATTCAAATATCGACGATACTAACAACATGAACACTAAATAAGTTGGAAAGAATACGATAGTAATGGTAAATGTGAGATTAAATCGTATAATTGTTTATGTAGGTATATCTGCAGTAGGTTTAATGAAGTCAGAAGTATTTTGTGTTTATTACCAAAAGCGCTGTTTTAAAAACAAGAACTGAACGAATTAATTTATTATATTAAAATCTAAATAAAGATTAAGAAAACACT